CACACACACACACACACACACACACACACACACACACACACACACACACTCCTGCTGTAACTTTCTTATAACATTAGACTTTATTAAAAGTCTGAGTTGATGAACTCTGACGTGAGAAGCTCTTCTCAGCAGTAATCAGCGTGTTTCAATGGGAACCTCACAGCCTTTACTTTAGAGCTGGGTGATGAGTCTGATTAATGTCACTTGTGACGCTGCAGCCTTTCCCCACTGTCACAGGGTGAGAAGCCCCCCAGTGGGGTCAGCGGTGTGCCACGGGGCTGACACAGACATGAGCGGTCACGGTTTGCTTTGATATCCCAGCAACGTTACGTCTGCCCCACTTTCTTCTCTAATCTAAGAACCTTGTTCCAACTGTGTTGCAGGTCAGGAAAGCAAGCTGGTTGCTGTCATTGCCTGTACTGACCAGAGGCTGAGGCCCAGACACACGTAAGAGAGCTGCTGATGCTTGTTGTTATGCATTTGTGTTTCTCATGTTTTGTCCTCACTCAGGAAGCTGTATGTGGCCTCGTCTGTCGGGCTGTGCCTCCTGGTCAGCGTCCTGGTGTTGTTCTTCCTGTTTCCGCGCTCCGTGGTTCTGTCTCCAGTAGCTGTCAGTTCATCCTCTGTTTACTTCACTCACGACGGCGTGCAGATTAACATCACGGTGAGCAGAGAGGGACGGGCTGTGATGAACGGAGCAGTCAGGCTGTGCAGGGATGATGGCTCTTTGCTTTCTTTTGCAGAACGTGTTGAACATCACTAATAACAACTTTGCAGCGGTGCAGGCCTACAACCTGACAGTACAGGCACTCAACTTTGGCACGGTGCTGGGAACGGTGTCCATTAAGAACGTCGTGTCTGTCAGACCTCTGTCCATGAAAACGGTGAGATGTGATGCAGTCACCACAGCTGAGGAAGGAGCACACACCTGTCCTTCTGTGTAGAAGTGCAGCGAGGCAGGATAAGAAGAGAAAAGCAGATAAATCAGAGCAAGTTTGTCCCGTTTCCTTCTCCTGCTGATGATTTCTGCTGTGGCGTTAGCTCAGCAGCTTTTAGATTTGAATGAAGTGTTCAAATTGGTTTTTATGTATTGCTGATTGTTGTCCATTGATACTGCTGCGGGAGGAGGTCTAAGCTTTGGGATGTGTCAGTCTTTTTCCCGTTGAGCAGTACTGTTTTCCTGGTGATAGTCGGATAAACGACGGCCCAAAGCCATGTTTCTCCAGTGCTTTCAGGACAAATGTCCAGGTTAGGTGGTCAGAGGCTCTTTCTGCATCCAGTGAGAGGTTAGTTGTTATGGTTACTGTGGTGAGACAGATGTATGAGGCTGAAAAGTCTACGTGTATTATTTGAAGGATGTTTGGCTTTAATGAATCCTGCTGAATGACAGATAACGATTGGATGCAGGCTGTTGGAGCACTGCTGATGTCTTTGTCTGTAACTGCAGCGGCGAGCTGGCTCTGTTTGACCTGAGCTGTATTCATGTGACGTGTTTGTAACATTCGGAGAGAGATCCATCTGACCAGAACAGATTTTCACATATCCCAGTCACCGATGAGGGCTGTATTTGGTTTGTTCACGAAACAAAACTGAACATTGAAATATTTCATTTGTCCAGAGCGATGTTTCCTCACTGATGGATCTGATTTCTGTTATTCTTGTGCTTTTTATTTAAGGAAGATTACTGTTGTTGAGACTTTGTTCAACAAGTATCACAGTAAGTGAGGAATGACTCTGCATCTCTCTTTCTTCGCAGTACTCCTTCATGATACCCATCCAGCTGACAGACCCTGGTTTGAGGTGAGCCTAAGTGGGACGAATTTATGGTCAGAGCGGTTACTGGGGGGTCAGAGGTCACTGCATCATATCTATTCTAATGCATTTGCTGTCTAACAGCAGATGTGTGACACAAAGTCTGAGTCTTTCTCTGTAGACTTAAATCTGTATTCGTCAGTTTGAAGGTTACATTCTGCACAGGTGATGTAGAAAGCTGGTGAACGTTGTTCAAAGGTTGGTTTGCACTGTGACATGATCCAGCTCTGCTGTGTCACGCTCTCATTTAGCAGCTGGTGCAGTTTGTTTCTGTTCTGTGTCTAAAACATTTCGTTCTCCTGTCTCTGCTGTCTTCCCTCTGCAGTAACTACTGTAAGAAAGAGTCGCTGCCTGTCCATATTCTGTATGTGAACCTACAGTAAGTATGACATCCTCCTGCTTTTGTTTCAGCAGGCTCGTAGTCTTCTTCAGTTTGTGCAGAAAATACAATAAAGAAGTTTTAAAGTTAGATGTGAACAAGCTTATATTAACAGTGGTTCAGTAGGTCTTTGCTCTTGGCTGTTTTAATTGGAAATCTGAACATTTTAAGCATGAAGAGATTCACAGAAGCTGTTTGATCCGATCACAGCTGAGGTACGAACATGTCCCGACTGTAGCCAGCAGTGATTACCTGCATATACACGGCTGTATGTGGCAACAGCAGCCAGATCAGATGGCCCTGAAGGAGCAGTGAGTCTGCTTTGGTCTTCATGAGTGTTTGCTGGTACTTGTACGTGACAACGAAATATGTAGGCCGTCCTTCTTCTTCTCCGCTCCCAGCAGGGAGTCGGTGAGGGAGAAGTGTCTTCAAACTCGGGCTGACGCACAGCTGTGAAGGTCTGCCGTTTCCAGCTTGCTGATTTTCACGGTGATCTCTGTGCAGGATATCGCTGACAGTCTTCTGCCTGGCCCGCTATGAGCAGCTGTCCCTGGAGACGTACGAGTACATCGACTGTGGAGCAAACAACACCGTACCACACAGCGTACAAGCCGCATCGACCTGATGGAGGCACAGATAAGAAATGCTGTGAACCAGAGTAATGTGCTTTGTAATATTTCGAGCAGGATGCTGTCGCGGCTGGATGTCGAATGACTGGAAAATCAGTGTGAAGGTTAACAGCTGCTTTGGATTTGAATGAAACTGACTGTGTCTGGAGAGGAAGGCGAAACGGTGCAGTGGGCCAAACCGTCCACATGGTCTCACTGTGCAAGTCACGTGGTAACCATGTGACCCTGATCACTGTAGCCAGTGACCCAGCACCTCCAGTGTGGTCCAGCATGTGCTGCCCCCTCTGTCAGCTGCAATCCTATAAATCCTTAGACGGCCTGATGATCTTCACATGAAGCTCAGTATTTGTCTTTTTGAGAGCTTATTCATCAAACTTACTGCCAAAGACACGAGCAAGTATTCTCCACTTGATCGTCTCTGTTTGAAAGTTTGTTCAGTAATTGTACCTTCATCATTTTGGTCTTCCTCTCCTTAGCCAAGTTCTATTTACACACCAACACATCTGCTCTTCAGGGTTTTTGGGTTTTTCTGTATATTTCCTGCCTTCTCTTTATTTCTTGTGTTTGTTATACTGAAGTGGACGTGTGAGGCTTTGGAGCTATTTTTAAAGAGATCTTTAAGAAACTTTATGCAGCAAAATTTTTTGGTGCATTGATGAAATGACGCGGTTTCCTGTAAAGCTTCTTGACAGACACTTCCTCTCCACAAGTCCAATAAAGCTATGTGAGCCTGTTTGAGTCCTGTGTTTGGTGAATGAATGCAGGGGGGGAAACACAGCATCGTGGCTTTAAAACCGCCAAATCAGCTCCTGCTAGTTGAACTTTGTTAGTCAGCCCAGTGTTTCCAGTCCTGTGTTAAACAGACAGCTGCACTGCTGTGCGAGAGGGTCAGAGGTCAGACGTTCTGGACTAAAGTGTCCGTACGGATACTCGTGTTAACCAGTGAGAAAGTACAGGCTCTGAAAAGTACTCAAAGTAACTCCTTGAATGTTTAATGAACCTTGTGCTATATTAATGTAATATTAAAATAATATTAGTAGATGGAATGAAAGCTTTATTTCAGTTTAAGTGTTAATTCTACTGGTCCTCAGCTTGAATCAGTCAGACGGAGCATGAGCAGAATCTAAAGAAGGAATCATTCAGATCTGTTTTCTACTGCGTGCACTGTAGAGGGTGGCTTTGCCTCTAAACAGGGAAATGAGCACAGTCAGGGTTTAGCAAGTGGGGGAACATTAAAGTCAGATGTTGTGACTGATTGTGAATCAGTCGTCTCTATCGAGAGCTTCAGTGATCAGCTGATCGAGGGTGCTGTTGCTCACGGCTCTTTGTGGACGTAAAGAATGGAATTCAACAAGATGCCAGCTGATGTTTTATGAATTGTCTGGGCTGATTTCTGTCCTCTACACTGACAGTATACTATTTATACTGTCTTATATTAGACACTATACAGCTGGTATGAAGGTGAACGAATCTCAGCATCATCAGCTAAAAATCCAGAGCATTCTCATTCCCAACATGTAACATACTGACGGTTTGTCACAGTGTCGGTATGTTACGTGTGGTGATGATCATATTAATCTCTGCTACACTTGATGTAACGTAACTCTGACCATGAGCACAGCAGCTGCTGAGCAACAGTCCAGCACACTGTTTACTTTAACTCCACCACAGTGCAGCAAACTAACCGGTTTATCATGCAGCCTCCAAACAACACTGAGACAAACTGCAAACAAACAGTTGTTGTGTTTGCTGATGGTTGTTGAACTGATAGAAGTCACTTAAAAAATACTGATCCTTTTATGTTCACTCCTGGCCAGGCAGATGCTGAAGTACTGCAACTGCAGTTTACGCACAGCTGCAGTCATTCTGGTGCTGTGCAGAAAAATAAAAACAGTGTCCCACTTTAATCCCAGACTATTTTGCCTCTTTCATCCCATTTTGCGACATCCTCTGGTGATTAATACACGAACAGGACTGCCTTTCACGTGTTGCTGTTGAGGCTCGAATCAGGTTGACGTTTGAAGGTGTGATGAAATAACTCGCCTTAAAATCAAAAGTATGTCTGCTTTGTAAATGTAAGGAGTGGAAAGTGCAGATGTTTCTCTGATAACGTAGGGAGTAAAAGTAAAACGTCAGGAAAAAAATACTCGAGTAAAGTACAGATACCAGAAACTTCTACTTAAGCACAGTAACAAAGTATTTGTTACGCCCCCTGCTGGATAGAAGGCAGAACTGGAAAATATGGGAAGGACTGGAGACACTAGAGAGAGTCGGCACAGAAAAGGCTAAACAAAGTTAAGGTGGGAGGACCAGTTTACATAAGAATCTTAACAACCTGCATTGTTAGAGTTTCTCATGATTTTACGTGCATCTGTGTTTCATGCCTTACATTTCTCTCCTCCCTTTGCAAAGCACACAGTTGCCCTGTGCCAGTGCTGTTTGAATAAATCACTGTGATGATAGTAATAATGACCCTGATCTCTCCTTTTTGTGTTCAGCGTGTTACACATGCATTGTCAGACACCCGCACCTGTTTGTGTGTTTGAGCATGTGTATGTGAGAGAGACCAAGCACTGCAGCTTCATCAGAGTTTTGCTGCCTTCGCTGCAGTGTGCATATGTGTCAAACTGTCTGTAACTCCAGTAACAGACACAGGGACGGAGTCGTTTTCATTTATTATCTGACAGATGCAGAAACAGCTGCTTCCACACATGCTGCAATAGTCATGAGAGTGGAGGCTTTCCCTTTCCTCACCACTGCTGGGTGTACTGCAGAGACTGGAAGATAAATGGATAATAGATCAATATTTGTAATAGATGGGCCGTTACTAAGACGACTGAGCCTGATAAACATAATGAAAATGAGTCATTGCAATGACCGGCCAAGCCTTATCACAGGAATTCAATGATACCTACTGAGAACCTGTTGGGAATCTTGGGGTTGTGATGGTCATCCATCTTCAGGTCACCTTCACAGTGATGCTGACTTCCGGCTACAAGCAGCACATGGAAATGTTACCTCTTGTTTACCTCTCATCCCATTAGGCTGCCCCTCCCTAAGCCTAGCAGAGGTCTTCTTCAGATTACTTTGCAGCGTAATCCTCTTCGAGGAAACTGTTGTTATGCGCTGGTGCCATATGAAAACATAAACTGAACTGAAACAGCGCCGGGCTCTGAATTTGATGTGATGTCCTGGGGGGTTGAACGGGGCTTGTTGAGAGCTCTAACACAAGGAAACAAGGTCAGACCACAAGGAGCAGGAGACCTGATTACCACCTTAAGACTGATCCCACTCATCACTAATGTGAGTGATTTGCACGAGAGCCAAATCAAACAAACTGAATGGACAGAGCTGTTACGCTGATATTTAAGGCGTGTTCACTAAATCATAACATTGATTTGTTCTGTGTGTAACCTGTAGCTGTGGCATCGGTGAGGGAGATGCTGTAGGGACAGTGAACCTTCTGAAAAAATGATGTGTGTGCATCTAGCGGACCACACGGCTAACTTGCTGCTGCTGCCCTTAGAATGATCTCAGCCAAACGAATGGCTGACAAGGGAGAGAACGAGGCAGTGAATGATGAATCCTTTGTTGTCCACTGCCAAGAAAGCATTACATCAATGGGTTCTGATATGTGAGAGTGTAGAGCAGCCTGTGTGGCCTGTCATGAATCATTCAGATGCCAGATAATTCAATTCATTTTTATTTACACAGCGCCAAATCACAACAACAGTCGCCTCAAGGTGCTTTATGTTGTACAGTAGACCCTACAATAATACATACAGAGAAGAACCCAGCAATCAAATGACCCCCTATGAGCAGCACTTTGGCGACAGTGGGAAGGAAAAACTCCCTTTTAACTGCTTCCACAGAAGAGGGGCCTGAAAACTGAAGGCTCTCCCTCCCATTCTACTTTTAAATACTCTAGGAACAACAAGTAGGCCTGCAGAGCGAGAGCGAAGTGCTC